TTATATATAGAATAAATCCTCCACTTATTTTCATATATTCAGTACAGAATCATGTTTAAAGGCTTGCATTTCTTTAAATGGAGTTATTTTTCGCCAGAAACTGTAAAGTTCCTTCTTTTCTTACTGTTAAGTAATCAATATTCTTTGATGCTAGACTTTCACATTTTTTGCAGTACTTTTTTCTACTGTTATGTTTTATTGATATTTAATATCTAGAAGCATGATATAACAATTCATGACTTAGTTCTAGGCCTTTCTTGTAAAACTAGGGAAGGGATTGAAGAAGTGATAAAGCACATCCTTTAAATCTCTAAAGCAAATAGAAGAGAAATTGGAAGTTATGATTCGAACATTGTTCAGCTGATTGGTTTTCCAGGTACCTTAGAAATTTAATGGATTTCCCAAAAGGTCTAACACAAATTGAGTAATAATTTATTAATAGTGTTAAATATTTTGATCTCCCACATCCCAATCCCCCAAACTCTTGAACGGTTGATTCAAATCCAATCAAGTTTATGTCTTTTGTTAATGTTTGTTATCTTGAATTATAAGTGCCCTTGTACCTATCAAATAAAGTGAGACACTTCATGTGTTCCAGAGACTGCTGAAAAAGTGACTTGTGATTTAGAATCCATTATTCTTTCCTATCTTTTTTATTTTGTGAAATATGAAAAATATTCAAATGATCTTAAGGTTCGCAATAAGTGCGTAGAACTCATAGCGCAGGAAGTGGCTGTTTTTTTCATGGAGTGATTATGGGACTGCATTGTGGTGGCTTCATGAACTTGCTTCTCCACTAACATGCAGTGAGTTAATAAACAGGTTGTTAGTTGAAGCTTCTGAGTCAGTAAAGTGAAATTTTGTCAGAGTAGAATATTCTTTCCTTATTTTTTCTTACTGTGTTTACAAGGGAGGGTTTTTTGTTTGTTTTTTTTTTTAATCCTGACCTTTATCCAAACAGTAAATGTGGGTAGTCAACTAGAAGGAAATGTAGGCACTCACTGGATCTAACCCTTTCATTTGGCAATCAAGACGCACGGTCTTCTGCTGTAGCCCTTGTGTCTGGGCTTTGTGCCTCTCTCAGCGTATAGAGTGGCTTTCTGTTGCCATAGTTCCTGCTTTTGAAATAGATAGGCTGGAAGATTTAGCTAGGGAAAAGTAAAAATGGAAATGTTTCTATGCCCACCAATGCAGGTTGATGGGTTGTTTTGTTCTTGTTTTGTTTTGGTTGGGTTTTTTTTTTTCCTTAATGCCTATAAGAGAAGAGGGTGATTTTCTTCAGGTTCTGGGCCTAAGCTTTTATTTTACCTGAAAGGTACAATTTTTAACTGTTGCGAGTTTCAGGAAAAATATTGAGAACAATGTTTTCAGATTCCCATTTTTTTTAAATTCTAAAGAGGACTTCAGAGTGTAGTGCTGAACTCTTTATTTTAAGGCTGATTTAAGTGCTAAATATAATTTGAACAGCTTTAAATATTGCACATTATATGTAGACCCCCACATTTTCGAAGGTAGACAACAGCATTAGTCTGGTACCATACTGTAGGACCTTATTTGTTAAAGGGCTTAAGCAATGGTGACTCTGGGATAGAATATGAACTCTGCAGACATTGAGAGTTTTATATGACCAGGACTTCAGAGACAGGCCATCCCCTGATGTGCATAACTGTAAGTTTAGATGTTCATATTGAATGGTCTAGTAGCTTCATAATATGCTTGGGAACTTGGTACAGTCAGGAGAGACTATTGTTACTGAACAAAATATACGTGGTAATTTCAAAACATTCCACATTTCAAGTCTCTCTTTCAGAGAGCTCTGGATGTCATGTATATCCCCATCAAGCGTACGTTCTTATTTTACTGATGGAGAAGCAAACATGTCTATCGCTTAAATGTTCTTTATTTCAAACTGCAATTGAGATGGGAGGGGGGTGGGGAATCCAGTGAGGTTAAAATTCATGTAACGAGGCCAGTGAGGGATGTTTTTGGTTTCCTTAAGTTAGTGATCTACTGAATTAAATCATATATAATCTGGCTGCATCAGGACTTTTGTTTTAGTAAGGATTTCGGGAATATTTCCTCAATAGTATCTGAATACTTCAGATATCCTGTGAGATAAGGAACAATTCATTTCCCCTTCCACCACTGTAAAAGTTGTGGAATTATTACAAATGGATTTGCATATCTATGTTATTTTAGATTTTCTTTACAAATTGACCAGGGAAATAATACTAACAACTGATTTGGAATTCAAGTTTTCCGTGCAGCTCAGGATTTTGGAGGAAATACATTGATTAAATGGTCTTTAGTTTTAGTCGTTAACATCATAGAAACTGCATAGATTAATAGCATGAAATTCCTTTATTAAGAAGGAATTCCTCAAGTTTCTTCTGCTCACTGAAGAGTTCTTTGTTTCAAGTTAATGTAAGAATATTGTTAATTTATTTTTCTTGAATCAACAGTTATGTGTAAAATCACAGTAGCACCAGCGTTAATTTGTTTTGTAAGGTAGGTTTGATACATAAATAAAATTAAAATTCAACTCTATCCTGGGTTTTTCATAGCTTGTGTATTAAAAATGCTCACTATAATGAATGTAAGGAAAAGATTATATTTTATTTTATAGGACAGAAATTACAAAGCAAAACAATGATTTCACCTAAGTTACTTTAGCAAATAATTGGTATAGTTGGAAACTTCATGGGAATATTTCCAAGCAGACTGAGACTTAGTGTCCTGAGTTCTGTTCACTTTTCATCTGATTTGACTTGTCATTTTGAGCAAGATATGTAACTCCTCGTTTCTTGTTTACCAGTGCTTAAAAAGGAGAATATAACTTACATATTTAGTTGAACTCACCCAATGGTGTTTGTCTGTACCCCTCTGAGGTATTAGTTGTTAACCCTTTAGAAAGTATGTGCTAAAGATTGCATGTAACTTTCAGTATAATACAATTTCTAAAATAACTCCCAGGTAGAAGTAGGTTGGAAAGAGCAACTTACTGTTTGAAGGGAATTTTGGAGCAATTTTCTTGGAAGTATAATACACTCCAGGAATGTAGTTCAGTATTAAAGTAGGAACCTCTCTGCTTTGTTGGCAATTTAATGATGAAAATTACGTGGATATTTAAAATGAGCAGAGGACGTGGGCTTGGAAACTAATTCAGCACTGATGGCACTCATTGCTCAGTTTGTTCTTGTGAAGCACCAGGTTATTCTTAGATGTGAGCAGAGAGGAAAAAAAGCCACAGATTAAGCTTCTATAGCTACTCATGAAGCAAATTAATTGTGGGATTTGCTAATTATTGGAATTAAGGGTCTTTGTCTGCTATTTATAGTCTCCTTGAATAGTACATAAAGCTGATTTAAATAATTGAATACTTCTTAAGCATAGAGGCATGCTGGGGAATGAAAATGAAGTTAAATACCTTCATGTTTTCATTAGGGAATTTGAAATAGTATCAACACTGAGCACAAGATGAATGGTATTTTTAAGAAGTAATTTTAAAATGTTTGCCCAGTTTTGTGATACCTTTTCCATATATCCTGGTGTTGTGAGACTCCATGATAATTATGAATAATACATTATAACTGATACATTAAGGTGAGAAGTGTTTTCTTCTAGAAATAAACTATTCCCACTAAAACACCACCAGCCTCAGTTAATTTATGGTTGTCCCTGTGCCTCTTGGGAAACCTGAGGATGGACCAAGTTAGGTCTTGAATAAGATATGACTTATGTTTATATGCTATATTCATCATAACTGTAAAGAGTTTTATTTTTGCGGACATCAGAATATAGTAGATAGGGTTCAGTTAAGTTGATGAAATATAGTGTAACTTCTTTTCTGATCCATTTCTTTCAAAGTCTAGTACACTACGCAATAGAGTATATACTACAAGGAAGTTGAGTCTACTTTAAAACTGGATGTTAAGTCTTATGTTTGATTCTGTTCAATGCTGTAGCCTAATTCTGTTCGCACTACTTTGTTTCTTCCAGGACATGAGAGACTGCTCCCATGATGGCAGAGATTTGTGTGAAAGATTTTGTCATATATTGCACGACTCTTAAATGCTAAAAGCAGAAGGAACAAGCTGGTAACTCAGTGTGGAGCAAAAATTTTATTTTAAACTTCAAAAATAATTATGTCAAAGAAAAGTCGTGCCAAGGGAGAGAAGACCGACATGGAGATTGAAGCCCTGCAAGCTGCTAATGAGGAACTACGAAGTAAACTAACCAACATCCAGATAGAATTTCAGCAAGAAAAAAGCAAGGTATTTATCTGTCTGTATTTTGTGATCATTTTGCTTAACAGTAGTAATGGTAGAAACCAGCAGAGCTTGAATCTCAAACTAATTACAGAATCACTAAGGTTGGAAAAGACCGTCAAGGTCATCAAGTCCAACCATTAATCCAGCGCCACCATGATCCCTAAACCATGTCTTGAAGTGCCACATCCACACGTTTTTTGAACACTTCCAGAGATGGCGACTCCACCACCTCCCTGGGCAGCCTGTTCCAATGCTTGACCAAATTCACTACTAAAATGCATTAGCCTTAAAAGGAACACATCTGACAAAGTGAACCACTGATGAACTGAAATTGTTGCCATTTTAAATAATGTGCAAAAGGAAGTAAATATCCCCAAACAGTCACTGAAATTTGCGGTCACAGCAATACAAATGCCACTAACTTAGTGTGACTTAAAGGCAACGAGGGAGTTTGGTATTTGATTTTAGTACTGAAAACTGTATGTTGTAAAAAGAAGTGTCTTCAAAGTCAAACATCAATACCTTACTCAAAGCATGTAACTTCAAATGCCTATGGGGAACGTAAATTGACTGGAAGTCATCTGTGTAGGAGTCCTGATTTGACTTGCTGAGGTTGTGTGTGCTGTTGCTCCAAGCTGTTCAGTGATTCATCTGATCACTAATGAAACAGATCCATCAATGTTTGTCTAGAGAGCACACGTTCAACAGATATTTGAGTAACCAAGAGAACACCTAGGAGAAATTGTTTATTTGTGAACTACGTCTATATTTATAAAGATTAGCATTTACTTTTATATATCTCAGTAGCAGTTTAAAATATGGGCAAGACAACATGGTTATTTCTAGTCTATTAGATTATTAATCTCAATTTGACTTTGCAGAAGACAGTCCTGGAGATGAGTCCATGTGGACATGGATTTATCTGTGTTAGTTTGGCGATACTGAGTTGCAAGAGTCTCAAGGATTTACCAGTGGAACAAGTATGCACTGAAAACGTGTTCAGTTTATATAACACAGTTTTGGTCTAGCCTTGATCAGTGTAAAATTTGGAACACCTGAATTTATTAATGAAACATATTCCTGTATGTTCTAGTTTATTTAACAGCCTTCTGTGATACTTAGCTTTGAATGGTCTTATTTTTCATATTTTAATTAAAAGGTAAACAACAACTCCCCTACAAATACAATCTTCAGAATTTATTTCGTGCAGAGTAAAAAGAAATAATGAAGCCTTAATTCTTGTTTGACTGATACGACAGGTTCAGTATATATCAGCCAACTAAATTTGTGTTGCCTTGGAAATTTTTCTTCTTTGCAGACTGAAGCGAAAAGTCATATTTCTTAGGGGTCAGCAGTATTGATGAGTGAACGGAAAAGTCAGGGTTTTTTGCTATAAGCTTCCTGATCCAACTTCTCCCACTCTTGTTTGATATAATGAGAATAGATTATAAAACAAGGGTGGCAGAAACGACTTCTTTTTCTTAACACCACACACCATGCAATTTACTAGTGGCTGATACCCTCTGAAATTGAATGTACCAGCTGATAAATTGCATTATTTCACTGTAATTTTTAGTGTGTCAATGCTTCTGTTTGGAAAGAGACTTGTGAGCTGATGGTACATTACATTTACATTAGTAAACTTTTCTTCTTAGTTATTTTGTCTTATTTCCTAAGAAATCCGTATCACTATTTATGTAGAGATACAGATGTGAATTTTATTATCATCATCTTTTAATTGCATTAAAAAGAGCACATAATTATAAAATTATCTTATAGCTTGGATGGAAGAATTAATTAATTTTGAGTGTTTAAATTACTCAGATTCTAAAAAAATCTACAGAAAGATTACACAAACCATAAGAAGAGTTTAGCCCTGATATGCTTCCAAGTTTGATGCTTTACCTGTAATAGTATCAAGTTGAACTCTGATTGAACTGAGAATAAAGTGTAGCTACACAACCATGACAACCGTAGGAACATTTTCTATAACTAATCTGCTTGTTTACCTATATCCAGTCTGGTAAGAGTTGCTTCAATTCGGTTACCTGTTCATCTTTTTACAGTTTGAGAATTTCATATTTTCTGGAGTATTGAGGTTGTTACAGGAGATACATCTGTGTATTGTGCACATACACGTGCGGAGAGGTGAGTGGGCTCACATACATAATGTGTAGGTGAATTTGAAAGAGGATATTACAGCCAGAGCGCTCTAAAAATCCTACTCAATATACAGTGCAGTCCATTCCACATTCTGTAGCATGTCGGAGTGCATTTCTGGAGGATGGGGGTGGAGAAGAGGTCTTCGGCCTCCTTCCCACATCTTCACTATGGTGTTTGCTCTACATTATTTAACTAGAATTGAACCGTGCATTTTATTTCCCACCATCAGGGCAACAGCCTGCTCACTGTCTGTGCAGCAGTTGTACAGGGTGCCATGGCTGACAAGATGAGTACACTAAAGCAATAGCCATTTTTCCTCTTCAGACTGTAGCTTAAAAATGAGCAACAAAAAGCCAACAGAAATTACAGCTTAGTATCAGAAAAGTAAAAACACTGTGCCTAGGGAATTCCAAATAAATTAGATGGCTTTATTGGCACAGAGGTAAGAGAGAATATGTTGAAGCTGCTAAACAGGCAGCTCTGTGGCCTGTGGGACATGAAGTGTATTAGGAAAGGTAATAAACTCTTGTGAGGCCAATTCTTTTAACTTAATTCTCCTAAACGATTTTGTTCCTCACGTACATGCCTATATTAATGATTTATCTAAGGAAAAACTGTCTAATTGATGAGAGACTTCACAAGTGGAAATTAGTTTTAACATGCTTCTGCCTGCAAAATACAGGTTTCTTTGAAATAAATCATACCCAAGACACATCCAAAACTTTGTGCATATTTTCCCAGTTCATTTTATTTCATTTGTTGTTGAGCCGTTTGAAGAAATTTCTCCTGTAAAATTGTTCCCCTCCATGCTTAAGCGATACCTGATCCGAAATTCTGTTCTTTTAATATGCATCGTCGTGGATCTTGCTGGTGGTGGTCTGGGCCTCTGGTGTATGAGCAGCTGGATCGTTTGTGTTGCCAAAGGGGTGAAGCAAAAGTTGTGGCCCTGCCTTAGTTCTCTTTTACTGCTTTTTGTTTTGGGAACACTTGTTTGCTGTGTTTGGGCAGCCTGCTGATACGCAGTATGTCCTCCTGGGATTGTAGGTTTGCTGCCGTCTGTGGAGACCCTGGAAATGCATGAACTGAACACGGGCTCACATACTGCCCTCTTTCTGCGAGTGGAAAAGTTTGGTTGGAAGGCATCCAAAATTTGGGTATCAAGTGACAGAAAGAGTTGACTGAAACCGCAAAAATCGTACTTTAACATGAATGGAGGCAGAACTCGCTCTAACTGAAGCTTAAAGTCTGGTGTAGTAAGCACAAAGAGCTGCAGTGAATGAGCATGGTCTTGGCAGTCAGAGTCAAGAAAATATGCATCAGCTCAGTCGTTTTATAAATGCCTATGCTGAGGTCCGTGAATGTTTAGGAACCAGTATTATAAAGTACCTATTCCTCCCTATCCCTGCTGAGATGGTTACCAAACACTAGAAGATAGTCTTCCAGTACTTTGACTAATACTTTGTTCCTGATAGCAAGGTGTTAGTGTTTGCTGTCACTATTCCTCCACCTTCACCAAGTTCTGCTGTTGCTTTTAAATATTCGTATTCTGCTTGTGACTGTATGTTTATAGAGTTGAGATCACAACCCATCTAGGAGTTAGGATAAATGAGATGTTTCCACTCAGTTGCCACGGAATCACCTCACAATCCTCATGCTTTTCCTAGGTTTCTTTGGGGTTTTTGAGGTTTGATGTCAGGTGTTGAATCTGTATGTAACAGTGATCCTTGTTAGTCATAAAAAAAAAATTTCAATATGTGAAATTAAAAAAAAAAAAGATGGCATGTCATACTGTCAAAATAGCTATATTTACTGGGGATTAAAAGTTGTATGACCAGTATATGTGGAAGAACTCTAAGCACAGCTGTTCATCTGAGAATCCAGACACACTGAATATATATATAAAAATTAATTTTATCCCCCTCTGCTATGTATAGAATAAGAAAGGAGCCAGTTAATTTACTGAACTATAAGGAGTATACTGAATAGCAAGGAGGCACTAGGATATTGTAATTAGGAATGAAATATGGCAACCCTCTTGGAGCAAGGAAATGGATGAAGTATTGGTAAAACCGTGTATAATTACTCCTGCCACTGCTGACTGGGATTAAAAGGAAGCACATCCCTTTGTTTCGTGACAGCAGTTGAAGGGCATTTGAATTCAGCTGTTCTCTACACTTGGTATGTAAATGTAACTGAACAAAATCACTACAATGAGAGAATTTTGGACATCTGTTAAACATTAGACAGTAAGTATCAAAGTTACTAAGAATAAATGTGGCAGTGTTACTTCAATCAAAATTCAAAGTTATTAAATGAGTGAATATGCTAGACATGATAATGCAATTTCTAACCCAGGTAAAAGAGATACTGGAGAGCTGTGAGGCAGATACTAAGCAATGATTATCGTTAATTTGGAAGACTCAACAAGAAAGTGTGATTGGAACAGGTTGCCCAGGGAGGTGGTAGATGCCCCATCCCTGGAAACATTCAAGGTCAGGTTGGACGGGGCTCTGAGCAACCTGCTCTATTGAAGATGTCCCTGCTCACTGCAGGGGAGTTGGAATAGATGGCCTTTAAAGGTCCCTTCCAACCCAAACTAGTCCATGATTCCATGATAATTAAACCTTTTAGACAGTATAGTGTTGGAAGAGGTCGACAGAAAACACAGTGCAAGAGGTCCTAAAAAGTCTGATGTTACGATGTGGTGTACAGGAAAATTCTACTCAGAACTGCAGTAGGACATTTAAAATCAATGTATCTTATCAAATTATGTATCTAAACCATATAAATCTGGAATAAAAGGACAATCACTGGAGGCTTCAGAAGTTTCTAGGGAATCC